TTATTTAAGCAAAATGTGTATTTTCTATATTACACTATGTGACGTTATATGACGTCATATGACTGTAATATGTAATATAAAAATCTATATTACATGTAATTTACAACACTAATAATATCAGTATCTAAGTAAGATAAGATAATTGTGTAGCATCACAATCAATTAGTGTAACTTTAATTAATTAATTTTAAATATGAAATATAAATGAATACAATAATAATATTTATAAACTAAAATAAAGTAAAGAGCAATAAAATTGTCGTTTGTTACACATTTAAATTTCGCGCACAAAACCTGTATTTCAAGCTCGATTTTAAAAGTTTAAAAACGAGTTTATAGTTCATTATATGACCTTTCCATCAATATATCACATGATATATCAACTCAAGCCTCAACAAACCCTAACAACAACAAACCTCAAGAACCATCGCCGGAACTACTGGCCCGACAAGCACTCCTATAGCCATGGATTTAATGACACCACAATATTATTGTGTTAAGAAATGTGTCAAATATTGATCTAGGAACAATTGAGTGACTTTGTAAAAATATATAATTTAATTAATGTGCCCAAATTTAGTCAAATCCTGCTAATTTTACATTAAATATCGGCAAAATGTTACATACTTCAATAGCCTCTCAGCATAGAGTGTAGTATCAAATGCCGTCAAACGCGTATTAAAGTATTTATTGCGGCCAAACCGAACAAGATTAAATATTAATTCTTTCGATAATTTATTCTTAAAGTACTATACTTGAATTAAAAAATTATTTGAATTAAAATAATAAATTAGTTTTAATTTTGTAGCAAATTTACCCGGCGACAATTTTAATGCTCTTTAAAAGTGATAAATATGCAAATTATGGTTACAAGTATTTTTAATATGATAATATCACGCAAAAGCCTTTTTGAGTTATTTGTAATTTAGATACAATTAGAAATAATTTTTAAATATTTATAAAATAATAAATTTTACAAAATAAATACTGTATTATAAATTGTAAGAAAATTAAACAAAACAAAAAATAAAGAAATAAACGCAAAATACAAGATATAATCAGTAATAATGACCACAAGTATAGCATTTATATTAAGACACGAGTAGTGATGTGTAAAATACGGGTAAAAATCGGTACAATATATGCATAAAATCCAAACCATTATTAAGTGATAGCGTGTGTGTAATCGGCAAAGTGTGAAGCATAGGGTGAACAGATGTCACACAAATTCACAAACGCATTTAATACTCGTCGCCGGCGTCCTGATCGCCATCAGCCGAGTCGATGCCCACCTCTTCGTAGTCCTTCTCGAGCGCTGCCAAGTCCTCCCTGGCCTCAGAGAACTCTCCCTCTTCCATACCCTCCCCGACATACCAGTGGACGAACGCCCGCTTGGCGTACATCAGGTCGAACTTGTGGTCGAGTCGGGCCCACGCCTCGGCTATGGCCGTCGTGTTGGACAGCATACACACCGCCCGTTGCACTTTCGCCAGATCACCGCCGGGAACCACTGTTGGCGGCTGGTAGTTGATGCCCACCTAGATCAAATCATTTAAATAGCTTATTATATAAAATTGAATATGGGGTGCATCTAGCTTACTTTGAAACCGGTGGGACACCAGTCGACAAACTGAATACTCCGCTTAGTCTTGATGGCGGCGATGGCGGCGTTCACATCTTTGGGCACCACATCGCCCCTGTATAGCAAACACACGGCCATATACTTGCCGTGTCGGGGGTCGCACTTTACCATCTGGTTCTCGGGCGCGAAACACGAGTTGGTGATCTCGGACA